GATAGCTTTGGCATGAGGAGGGTGGGGGGGGGGCGGTAACATTTGTGTGAATAGCATGATAACCCACACGTTTGCAGACATGATAAGTTATTTACCCCGGTCCCGGTAACTTTGGCGAGGGGGTTGATTAAATATACCGACGGTAGCTTTCATGTTAATAACACGGTAACTCACGCCTCGCAGACCTGATAACTTGTATACCCTGGTCCTGATAACTTTGGGGACCGGGGTGGGGGAGGGAGGGACATCATGAAATATACCCCCGGTAACTTTCATTGATGAAGTGATTTTTTTTCCAGAAAAATAGCTTTCTTTTTTCTTACGACAGTAGTAAGAAAGAGTTTAAAACAATTTCGTTGTTGAACTAATGAACAACAAACTAGGTTGGCGTGATGGTTGTTGGGCTTTGTACTTGGGCCTATCCTTTCCACCCCGACGCAGGTTCGAATCCTGTGTAGGTAAAAAATTTCGCGTTTTTAATTATGGTGCAATAAATCGATCGGGAGGAGCACGGGAATAGCGGGTGGAGCGTTGTTTCCCCTGTCGAGGGGACGTGCGGATCTGTCGCTAACGACCAGTCGACTGGTCGTTAGCACAGTCCTTAACAAAATCATATAACATACAGAACTGTGAGTCAGGACCTCCACGTTTTCTTAATAGGACACAAGAAAAGGTTTACCTAGGGAATTACTTAACATGGCTTTACTTAAACATCCACGCTAGTTAAGATAACAATGTGCAAAATAGTCCACAGAAAATGAAGAATAAATGCAGAACGCTTCTAGAAAAGAACAAATGCCTAAGTAAGACAAAGCATATGCCATCTCAGAAAACACAAAACCTTGCATGACGTTCAATATTTATTTGGTGGTTGCAGAATACAGGAAAACATCATCATGCAATTAGACAGAATCAAATTCGGAAGCAAGGAAATACCTGTGTGAACCCTCTTACACGGAACAGCCCATGCAGAGCACCAGAGAGCTCATATCTGTAGACAGTTCCAAGCTCTGCCACTCTGATGGGTAAATCCCTGTATGATTGTAGCTTTCTCTTCTATACCAAGATGTGGTAAGGGCAATTCATGGGCCGAAGTTGATATGGCTCATCTTCTACATCCATTTGGTTGTACATATTCTCTTTGTAGAAATCTATATGTCCACTAATCTTCCAGAGATCAGCCTTCGCAACATGTGGAGTGTACAATAGATCATAACCACGTTGCAGGTGAGTTTGTTTCCACGAATCTTCTAAAATGTGTCTGATGATAGCACCTTTTGGATGCCAGAATACTAAACCCCCACCAGCGTCTTCCTGTTAAAAGTTCATTGGCTACAGTCACTATTAACAAAAACAAAATACCACATACGCACAGATAGCAAGGTATTTACAGAGGTCAGGTCTGGATGCCAATGCCAAAGTGATAAAATTGATATTTTTTGTTAGAATTGACGGTGACAGCAAATATCTATGAATGCAGATGTGTTGTCAAAATAAGACCACTGCTAAACCAGACAGAGTGAAGGGATCACTTCATATCACATGGTGTGGTATTATCATTTAATTACTTTGGTTGGATCTGTTGGTCACTTCCTTGCAAGCATGAATGCTAGCATGATGCCATCATACTTTTAGGGGTCAACAAAATGGTGAAGTACGATACTGTCGGACACTAGGAAAGTTGAGACTATGCTTCAATTACTAGAGGATTACTATCAGATGATTCCTTAAGTAAATGTTAGAAGTAAGAATGTAAGATCATACCTGTATAGAGAACAGATCAAGGTCCTGACCTAGTCGCCGATGGTCTCTGCGCTTGGCCTCCTCCTTGAAGTGGATGTAAGCCTTCAATTGATCTTCACTCTCCCATGCAGTCCCATATATCCTTTGTAGCATTTGATTATTCTCGTCACCTCTCCAGTAAGCACCAGCAACAGACTCGAGTTCAACAGCTTTTCTCTGTATCTTGCCAGTAGACTCAACATGAGGGCCAGCACACAGATCCCACCACTCTTCTCCTGCATGACCCAGCAGCAAGTACATAAAATCCACCGATCAGTATTCAGTAATAGCAAATAACAAGCAGTGGACAAGTAAGCTGATACCAAACAAAAATATTTACCAATGTGATAAATTGTGATGGGTTCTTCCTTAATTCTCTCCAAAATCTCCAGCTTATATGGCTCGTTAAGCGCTTGGATCCTCTTTTGAGCCTCTTCCCTGGACACCTCCTCCCTCACCAATGGGAGGTTCCGTCGAATGATTCGGTCCTACCAACATAAAAACAGGTCAAATCCCTCGCTCGACACTTAAAATCCAATCCGTTGATCAAATGTAACCAATGCATGCTCACCATCTCCTTCTTGATCTTCTTGAGGTCCTTATCCGTGAGGGGCTCCATGTCGAAGTCGTAGTAGAAGCCATTGTCTATCCAGGGGCCTATGGTAACTTTGGAGTTGGGGAACAGCTTCTGGACGGCCATCGCCATGACATGGGCACACTGCAGCAGCGAGGAAGCATGCAACAGAAATTAACCAACACTTGTACAGTTGGGGCGGCAACAAAGCTGACTAACTAAGCACGAAACTGGCCAACAGCAAGTCAGCAACACGCAGCGAACGATAACAAACTGAATGACTGAAACAACTGCAATTATGGCAGTTGAAGCACGGAGGAAGAAGGGAAATGGAGGGCAGGAGCAGTACGGTGTGGCGGATGCGCAGCAGGTTCTCGGAGGACTCGTTGGTGGGGAGCACGACGCGCGCCTCCACCTCCACCTCCGCGGCCGTCTCGCTCGGGGCCGCGCCTCCCGATGCCTCGGCGGCCTCCGGTGCCGCTGCCGAGGTTGAGGCGGAGCGGACGACGGTGCGTGAGGGCGCGCGGGAAGAGAGGGGTTCGAGGGGAGCGAACCCGCGCGGGAAGGCGGCGGCGGTCGGGCAGCGGCGCGGCGAGGAGCGGATGGGGAGGTGACGGTGGTGGGAACGGAGCAAGGGGGCGGAGAGAGTCGCCATTCGGGTCGGCCGGGCGGCGCCGAGGTCCGGGTGGGAGCGTGTGGCGGGCGTTGGGCTCTTGGCACGTTGGTCGTTGGATATCCTCTCATCGTGTAGTAGCTGAAGCCGCGCTCGTCAGATTACAGTTTACACTTGAACCAGCGACAATACCATGGCAGAGAGAATAACCAAGTTTCGAAGAAAACTTCGTGAAAACCATGTTCAAAAGTTTAGAAAAAATTTAGAAAATATTACGGGATGTTAAGAGACGGATGTTCTATTGTCATCCAGCAATAAGTTTAAGTTCACACACGTTACCATTTACGAGCTAGGAAAAGAACAAATCCAGCAATGAATAGTGATGTTTACTGTCCGGCACTACTTAGTACTGATTTTAATTTTTCCATACCTTGTAAATGACAATGTATTTGAACTTGCAAATTTCACATGCTAATACAACATCACACTCTTAACGTTCCATATTTCATTTTAGAATTTTTCAAAACTTCCAAACGCCATTTCAATGTGGTTTTCACCGGTTTCCATTGTAATTTAGTTTCCATGTGATGTTCTCTATCATGGCACGGCTGCACATTTTTTCATCGTTTCGTAAGTGACCAAACTTTGGTTTGGTCCGCTTAAATTCCTTACACGTCACGTCGAGGTTATGGGATCTCAATATCAAAGGCGTCATTGCCATTTCGCAAAAAAATAAAGTGTCATTGCCAATGCTTTAGCAGTAGACGGATCAGGTTAGGTTGTTTTGGAAGAACTGATTGATTCTGTAGGACACTTTCCGGCTTGTCACTAGTGGGGCTGGCGGAAGTCATCTCAGTGTAAGTTCGGTATCTATGGTGAATAAGGACAGTGACTGATGATGAAAATACCCCACCAATAAATAGGTAACTGGAAATTATCAATTCCATGTAGGTGTTAATTTTTTGCCAAAGCTGCTCCCAGAGTAACACAACGAGAGATTATGAATGGAATAAACCTTCAGCAAGACAATTGAAGTTAAATGAGGACGCTTTTTTCACCAGGATACTATGTTAAGGGCGCTATTGGAGCTCTAATTCCTGATGGATTTGGCAATTTTGTTGCCTGTTCAGGTACTTCTATTGCATATGATTCAGATGAGTTAATGGTGGGATCTTTGGCAATGGAAGCACCGGCTAGATTGTGTCTAAATCTGATTGTGTTGAAGTTATCTAAGCTTCTGAAGGCTCAACAACTTGGTGCGCAGAAAATTTTATCGTTTCTGCGAACTGTTTTGATTTTGCCATGGAGATTGGCAATGTCGGTTTCTCTCATTGCAAGCGGGAAAAAGAGGATTACCCTATTTCTGTATACTCTCTCCGAGAAATAGTATTTAAACATATTTCAGTTTCAAATACATCCACTTCTACTCGACAAGTAGTTTAGGACAGAGGGAGTACATCACTAACAGCCTCTTTGATTACAGAGGATTGGCACGTCTTCAAATCTTAGATTTTGTTTGATTGCACCGATGAAAAACAGAGGATTTCTTCAAGAGTTTAAAGTATTTTCTATGAAAAATGTACATAGAACAAATTATTCAATCCTATGAAACCAAACGACAACATATCAATCCTAAAAATATCAAAGAAACCATTTTCCCTAAAGTTTTCAAAGTAAAGTAGAGATACTTCACATAAAAGATCGAGCAGAAGAATCAAAGAGCAATTCCAAAGCTCTCATGTTGGTAAAAAAGTTTCAATGCAACAGGGAAAACAGTTACGAAGACACGCCAGTGCAGAATTATATAAGCAAGAATAATCAAATCTAACAGGCAAATCAACAGACAACAAACTAAACAATGCAAAGAGGAATAGGATGTTGACACCAACAGCATAAACTTGACCATAATATCAGTCGGATTGGAGGACAATGTATTTAAGGAAAATTGCCCGGTAACGATTCAGGGCACATACTCGAACTCAAACTCAACCCTATGATAGTAAATGTTTTGAGAACGCTGCCGCCAACCTACGACAACCTCTGGAGTTCGATGCCTCCACCAAAAACGAATGTTGGGAAAATCCACCCTCTACAATAATTATTGCCTTCCAACGTTAAAAAGATAAAAGTTCACCAGATCCTCGAAGGGTAGGACTGGGAACAAACTTCTCTTGTTCGTCATCATTTCGTCCCCTCTAGGCACCGCCTGAGCCGTACTTCTTGCCAAAGAAGAGGATCTGGAGCTGATCGTAGCCGGAGAGCACACCAGCACCAGCAATGGCACGGAGGATGTTGGCACCAGCCCCCTTGAAGAGGGACTTGGCACCCTCCTTCTTCAGGATCTGCTGGAAAGCATCCAAGGAGCTCTTGTACTTGACGGCCTCTCCGGAGGTCATCATCATCCTTCTGCGGACGGTGTCAATGGGGTAAGATGCAAGACCTGCACCATTGGTGATCAACCAACCAAGAGCAAAGCTGGCAAAGAAGTTGTCCTGCAAACAGGTGAATGGTGAGCAAGGATGTCAGTGGTTGTCACGCAAACAAGAGAAATTTGAAGATAGAAGAGTATATGGCAAGGTACTAGAACAAACCTGGAGAGTGCCAGTGAGGAGAACTGGCTTCAGAGAATCATAGAGTCCAAAGTACAGACCACGGTAGACAATGATTCCAACACAGGAGATGTTGAATCCACGGTAAAGCCCAGCAATACCATCTGACTTGAGAGTCTTGCGGTAGACATCAACCAGGCCATTGAATTGCCTTTCACCTCCACCCTTGGATGCCTTTGCGTCATTGGCCAGCCTTGTCCTAGCATAGTCAAGGGAGTACACAAAGAACAGCGAGGAAGCACCAGCGGCACCACCAGAAGCAAGGTTGCCACCGAACCACTTCCAGTAACCATCCTTGTCCTTCTTAAAGTTGAACATCCTCTTGAAGTAATCCTTGAAAGCAAAGTTCAAAGCCTAGGAAAAAGTCATAAACGAATTAGAGTAAGTTAGAACAAGATAACGATAGCAAAAGAATCATTCTGCTATAACTGGTACAAGCATACTACAATATGAAAATGAAATATTTGAACTACAATTTCTGGATACAGAGACATTCAATTCAATCTCCTGAAATGCATCAGCTGTACACAAAAGTAGCATTCAAGAACAGAAGACAAAAAGATGATAGAGATGTTTATTAGACTACCATCACAAGCATCATCACAAATAACATTACAGCCAGATTGTTAAATGCCACAGATCATTTGAAGTTCAAAGACAAAGAATGGGTATTCAACATACACCATTACCATCATGTGACCATGAAAGCTAATGAAAATAAGCATAACAACAACAACACAAGATGGATACCTGAGTTGGGAAGTAGCGGATGACGTTAGCAGTGTTTCCTCTCCACAATGAGCCAAAGCCTTCATCCTTGATGGTGCGCCCAAAGCAGTCACCAATACCCTTGTATGGCTCAGAGAGCCTGCCAGCCTTGATCATCTCATCCTGGTTCTGGATAAGCAGCTTAACACGCTCAATGGGAGCTGCAGCAGTCTTGGAAACTGCAGCTGACACTCCTCCCATGAGGAAATCAATCGCAAAGTTCTTGACACCTTTCTTCTCAGGGGGTGCATTGGCAAACATTGGAGAAGATGACATGATTGGGACACTGATGCCAAGGTTCTGAGTCATGTAGCTGCTTGTGGTGAAGCGCCTCTCATAGGATGGCACAGAAGGGCAGATGTTGCGAGCACGAACACCCTCAGAGAAGCTGGAGGCAAGGTGGAACTGTCCACCAAACTTCTGCATGACAGACGGGTGGTTAGCACGGTCCGCCATCTCTGACCTGCAACAGCAATCAAACCAGAGCATACGTTAGCAAGCTTGATGCAATTATGAAACACTGTATAAACTAACATACGGCCAGGAAATATAACAAGTAAATCAGGTAAAGCATACCATCTCTTATAGATATATCATAACAAGGTGCACACAATTGTTTGGGGCACAGTGGAATGAAAGAGGGGTAATTAACAAACATTTACGCTAACTTGTAACTACAAGAAACATGGTAAAAAACCATTGCTATCTCTACAACTAGGTTAGCCCTAATCTGTAAGAATAGCAGTCACAAACTCATTTTAGAAATTTACTGATAACCCCTAATAGCAACATAATTGATAAACAGAGTAGTATTGCAAGCTGACAGAAACAGTCGAGACGCATGAAAATACTCAAATGGGATATAAAAACAAGGAGGCACAATCAGCACATAATGCTAAACTGGAAATAGGTTTAATCCGGATGGATCAACCGAGTCAAAGTGCATCACTAACGTAAACAACTGAATTGGGACTGAAACCCACACTACGACAATAAAAGACCTGCCTAATCATGAGCAAAGACACGGCTTTCAATTGGTGCATGTGATGTACAACAGAAATAAACTTGCATCTGAACAAACAAAGGCGCACAAACAGATAAGAATCTGTTGACATTATCTGTTTCTGTTACCAAATATCCGAGTAAAAAACACCATTTCTTTAACACTAGGTGGGGCATCTCGCGTCAGGTCAACAGATCAGATTGCACAAAATAAGACTGGATCTAATTGCCCAAGACAAGGCCCCTTTTATAGCATACCCCGACGACTTCCGGATCCATAGATCCGGAAAAGCAACGCGATCCAGATGACAACAAACTAGATCGCGCAAAACATCGGGAAAAAACAGGCATATATACATGAGATCTGACGAACAAAATGAACCAGCGAGTTACCGAACAACAGATCCTCCTTACCGGAGAGGAAGGAGGCTCGGAT